GACCTCGTTACCCTAGCAGCTAGTAATGTACCGCTCGCCGGTCAAGTGTTGGGTGCAATTGACATCGACGTTGAGATGATTTCCACTGCTGCACAACAACTTAAGTCGTCCTTCAACCCAGGATGCGATGGTGTCCCATCAGTATTTCCGAAGAAACATATCGCCAGCTTGCTGACACCGTTGCAGCATCTATTTCGCATGTCCATTCCGAGTGGTATATTTCCATCTTGTTGGAAATTTGCACATATGTTTCCTGTTCACAAAAAGGGAAACAAACGGGACGTGGATAATTACCGTGAAATCACATCGTTGAGCTCAGTTTCGAAGTTATTCGAGTTAGTCATCATGGAGCCCCTGCTCTCTCATTGTAAGCAGTATCTAAGTAGTGATCAACACGGCTTCGTTTCCGGTCGTTTAACTACCACTAATCTACTTTGTCTGATATCGTATGTCACGGAAAGCATGACAGAATTGAGCTCGTTCAGACGTAATTCACACTGACTTGTCGGCTGCATTCGATAAACTATACCATGCAATTGCGATTGCTTAGTTAGATAGACTGGGAATAAATGGCCTCCTGCGATGGTTTCGCTCTTATCTCAGTGATCGCCAGCTGATGGTAACCGTTGGTGAATGTCAGTCTGCTACTTACCCAGCTACGTCAGGGATACCTCAAGGAAGTCACCTAGGCCCGTTGATTTTCCTGTTATACTTTAACGACGTGAATCTGGTCCTCGAAGAGGCCCTCGTCAATCGTATGCAGATGATCTTAAAATCTATACCCGGATCCGTTCTATCGATGACGGTCACTTCTTCCAATGCCAGCTCGAAGCGTTTGCTAACTGGTGCAACTTGAACCGAATGGAGGTTAACCCCGCGAAGTGTTCGGTTATCACCTTCTCTCGCAAGAAGGAACCAATCATGTTCGATTATGTACTTCGGGAAACAACTATCAGCCGTGTCAACCACGTAAAAGACCTGGGAGTTATTCTGGATTCCCAGTTAACGTATAAGCAACACATCTCGTTCATTGTCGACAAGGCGTCAAGATCTTTGGGATTCATTTTCAGGATTGCAAAGAATTTTTTCGATATATATATATTGCCTCAAATCGCTATACTGTTCCCTGGTGCTGTCCACCCTGGAATATTGCTCTGCAGTATGGAACCCAAGCTATAACAATGGTGCTGAAAGAGTTGAGTCCGTTCAGCGTCGATTTCTTCGATTTGCTCTGAGGAAGCTGCTTTGGAGAAACCCTTTTCGTCTACCCAGTTATGAAACTGCTTCTACGTACTCGGAAAGACACTTCGCGGGCCCTGCTCATCGCGTATAGTTTACAGGGTAGAATTGATTGTTTTAGAATCCTGGAGAAGATCAACGAGAACGTCCAACCCCAAGCGCTGCGAAATAACGCTATGTTAAGATTGCCTCAGCATCGCACTATCTATAGCATGAACGTGTGTTCAATCGAGTTTCTTCAATGTTCGATTTCAACCTGACACTAGAGATGTTGTAAACTAATAAATAAATAAATAAATAAATAAATAAATAATGGATTTTATTAATCAGAAAATTCCAACGCTGCCAACTGGGATTGAACTCAGGCCCTTTGGAAGCAGAAGCAGAAGAAGCAGTCACGCTTACCACTAAACCACTGGCACCAATATCATTCAAAAAATGTAGAACATCATCAAGCGTTATGGCAAAAAGTTAAAGTATTTGATCAAACCGTAAACTGTCCATGATTTTAAAAATTTCAAAAGTTTACATTTTTGTATGAGCTAATGAAAAATCAAAATTGAAGATATGCTTTTTGAGATATTTGCGTTATTAATGTTTACTCAAAATTACGAGAAAAATACAAAGTTTATTTTCCCAGAAAGACTTTATTTGTATCTACAACTTTGTCTCAGACGTCATTTCAATCAGAAGCGACGGTTTTCGTGTTAGAATTTATTAAAAATTTCACAGAAACCATTTTTTTAATGTGAATGATTGCCCATAACACACAATTATGCCAAATGTTATGCAAATCGGAGATGGTCGAGCTTTTTTCAATTCGTCATTTGGCGTGAAACTGCTCAAAAGCTAAGCTGATTTAAAGTCATAATGTCACCCAATAGGGGGTTAATGTAATGTTCGATTTCGAAATCCAAATATCACGTCTAATCTAATTTATTGTAATCTGGTGTTAAACTGGATTCGAAAGTACACTAATGACCCTATTTTGTCAGTCCCATTTCTGAAAATCTTTTATTATTTTCTACGAAAGCCATGCGCTTTTTCAGTGATCTTATTGCTCCAAACTATACCTTACATTTTGATGATGAGAATGATTTGGAATTACTGTTTTGTGAAATTATTAAAAGATAAAGGTCTGATGAGTATTGATAATTAGGGGCCTCATAGCCTAGTCAAGTTCGATTCCCGGTCCGGTCGAGGGAATCTTTCACGTTGGAAATTTTCTTGACTTCCCTGGGCATAGAGTATCATTGTGCTTGCCACATTGGAATGGTAATTGGCATCGAAAGCTCTCAATTAATAACTGTGGAAGTGCATTTAGAACACTAAGTTGAGAGCACGCAATAAGCTGATATGCGCTAAGCAATAAGCTTGAAATTCGAATAAGAAGAAGAAGAAGAGTATTGATAATTGATTGATTACAGTACATGTAAAACCAATAGCATCACCATCAAATGAATGGTGAATTTCTTACTCCTCTGCATGTTGTTTGACGACAAATGTCAATTCTTACACCCAACCGAGAAATGAAAGATTCTATTACAGATTTGCATTAAAAGTATGCAGAATTTGTAATGTTTAATCGCATGTACATGTTTTGTAATGTAGTAGACGGAAAGTTTAATTACCCAAATGCATTGCATGTAGAAAATCATCTCGTGAAGGTTTTGTAAGAAAATATGCATTCTGGAAAACATTGCAAGAACTGCCATTACATTTGTTGTATGAAACATATGCAGAGGATGTAATAAATACAACCTTACATTGGATGTAAGAGAAATGTGTTTTGCGTTACAATGGACTGTAGCGTACAATCAAGTTTTTCTAGAATGAATACAGTCAGGAATCCTTATTGCCAGTATCCTTTATTGCCGGATCCTTATTGCCGGGCTATCCACGAATAAGGATATCCACAGATTATGGGATTTTCACTAATGGGGGCTGTCGTTGATTATCTAATTTATTTCAATATATAAAGCTATACTGTCTTCGACAAATTTGCTGAACTGGGATAGATCAACAAGCCTGTGTCATAGGATTCAAGTTTAATTGGGAACCACGCCGCTAGAGGCGCTTCAATTTTATATTACTAATGACGGGCGTTATAATATATGGAACGTTGGACCCAACTTAGAATATTTCATGATCCTGCTGTCTTCAGCAAAGTTGTTCAGGTGATCATGTCCTTTTGGATGGTGGTCATACTAATTTAAAACTCTATCATTACGCAGCGCTTGTGTGCATGTGCAATTCATGTATAAACTGTATCTCGAGAGCCTGGCCATATAGAAAATTGCTGTCTCCAGCAAAGTTGTGCAGCTGACCAAGTCCTTTCGAATGATGGTCATATTAGTTCATAAAACACTCACTACGCGGCACTAGCGTATTTTTGGAAAGGGGACGACGTGTAAAGACCGGAAATCGATGCCAGACGTCATTTTGGAATCCAACATAGTGGCCATCAGGTCAAGAAAAACCGTCAAATACACTACAACACGGGTATTTCCGGAAAGGGAACGACGTGTAGAGGCCGGAAATCGATGCCAGACGCCATTTTCAAATCCAAGATAGCAGCCGTCGGTTCAATAAAAACTGTCAAATACCCTACAATATGGGTATTTTCCGAAAAGGAACTTTCTATATGGTCAGGCTCTCTAGATACAACATGAATGTACGTTCGTACAAATCTTAATTAGACGATTTTCCACATTACAGAATCTGTTCATTCGGTGAAATATTACAATTTCAATGTATGCATGCTTGTTATGCAAATCTGCAATAAAACCTTACATTTCCCGGTTGGCTGAAAGTAGTTTTTTTTTTTTTTGGGACATTCCAAGGCTGGCATAAAATGAAAATAAAATTGCATCAGCCTTAATTACACTAATAAAATGGATTTACCTTAAAAGCTGAATTCCAGTACCTATGGTTGGAGGTCATTATAGAACCAAAGCTAAAGTATTCCCTCAAATCATACTTCAATCAAATTCAACGTCAAAAGGGATCAATGCTGAATTTACAAGTGTACGATACTTAGCCAAAAGTTCATCGCATCTTTTCCATATCTACAAATATTGACTCTTTCAGTGTGAAGGGCTAAGCTTGATACTGAAGAAATCTGCCCATTGTTGACAATATGCGAGCATCAGTCGAAAACATACGATCAAGGTAAATGAAACTAAATGTGTGTAACTATGTAACTCCTTTCTCTTTCGTTTCACAGGCATTCCCCTGTGGACGCCAACAATCACTAGGATATAATTAACTACTAAAAGATGCACATTCCCCCTAACGCATGCATCTCTAACGAATCACATCATTCATCAATCTCGCGGAAACGATCACGCAACGCTCATTGATACAATTAACAATTCATAATCGTGACTCCACCGTCGTACTCCTTCCTACGAAGCTGTTCAATCGCTCAAATCCCTTCACTCACCAGACGGCTCGCCGTAGTTCACACTTACCGCAATTATCTCATTTCTCCCGCGTGCGATTCTTCTACTTGGTCTGCCTGAGACCGGAATACCGCCGATCCACAGCTTTGTAATTTATCAGCGTGAGTTCTCTCGAGGAACCACTCTCACCACACCAAACCTCCATTGAATGCACTATGCACATTCACATTCACACCTGCCCATGCCGAAGCCACTCGCCGAACCCGCCGACCAGATACGAGATCCCATCACGCAGCCGCAACAGCAGCCACGCTGAGCACCGAACGCGATGTTCGCTTCTCCAGTTAGTTTCGGAACGTGGTTGAGCCACGACACTTCGATGTGCGCGCGCACGTTCAACTCAACCAGAAACGCGTGTTGTTTATGTTTGGCTTTAAACAGGTGACTCATGTGCCTTTAACTCGGTCGTGGTTTATCAGTGTCACCGTTCAAAATTCGCTACAGCTGTCAAGGCTGTAATTAGGTCAGCACCTAAGTGGTTCAAATGCGATCGGAGAGAATGTAATGTGCAATATTAAAACAACATAGAAATGTTTCAGCAGAATCATCTATAGGTAAATGGTGATGTGAATGAGTGTTCGAGCGAAGCACCATACAGTAGCATCTGGATCGGATTTCGATCCATCCCGCTTCGAGCTACATTCTGTTACAAATTGCTACCAGTGCGTTCATCGAGAGCAATTAAGTGCGTTCTTGAACAGAGCTGGTTTTAGAAAATGTAGAAAAAGGGAGAAGAGTTTGTTTGAGAGTGCAAGAAGTGCGGTGTGTTCATGAAGATAGCAGCAATTATGAGTTTCCTGGATCGAGCTTATAATTAAGGATCCTGTACAGTAGCAGTGAAAGAAAAGTTCTCAATTTAATTAGTGTTCATCAGTGAAATAGCGGAGTGTGAGGCACGGTCTTAGTGCGGGATTCTTAAAGTTAATCCAATCAGGGTGCCCGACCGCCAAGGACAGCTCACAGCGTTGGAATTCTTTTCATGAGAGGATATTGTTGTGGGTGGAGCGCCAGGCAACGAGAGAAGTTCATTCGAGCTCCAGCTTCTCTCCCATAAAAGGTAAGTTGATTTTCTGCCCTTTTCCTGCGGAATGCATACCTACCTACCAACGGTTGTTGCCTGTGTGAGTTTCTATGTGCACTGCATTTCAAGCAGGTTATTTGCATTCCGCTCACTTTTATTCGATGTTTTGCTCGGGCTGCGATCCGTTTCTGCAACACTGCTGTGGTGCCACTGCCGGTGCTACTGGTGAATGACTGGGTGACGGGGAACACCTTGCGGCAGGTTGCTAACCGTCAACCGATGTGTTTTACTCTATGGGAATCTAGCTTCTTCGTGGAATAACCATACCGAATGATTCATTGGAGATTTCAGACACGCTTGTGTTTTGATTAATTTTCTAGGTTTTGATGTACATTTGATTCAAATTTAATTATATTTCAGCAAATGAAATCGAAATCTGCAGAAAATTTGTCTTTTGTATTTCTTTAGTATTCTTTGTTTATCTTGTGACCCGTCTCGATGTGTCACATCGTCGCCCACTGGTCACCATAGTCGGTCGAACTCCAGACGAATTTAGAACCACACTACCGTTCATACTGGTGACATCGCTCTGATGAGATAACGACACCCTACCCCCAAGCTCTTCACCTTTTCCTATCCTTCGACAATGTACCCCTCTAACCTCGGGTAAGTCGCGAGTATTCGGTCCAACTCCTACTAGAAGAGTTAAGTGAATTTTGTTACAAACAAAGAACAATGAATTATTGGCTCCGTAAAGCTAACGCGTTTGCACCTTACAAATAAATGAACTAGATAAAAAAAAAAGGCCAAGAACATTATCGGGAAGGGGAGAATTCTCCCTATCCGATGGAGTTGCTGGTTTGCGTTGGCGTACTTCGGTTTACGCGAAAAGGGCATTACAAGTTTTGTTCACAAAAGGTGATAAACCCTTATAAAATTTTACGCGAGAAATAATGAAATTTTCATATAGAGCTGTCAAGAAGATTTAATATATGATTGAAACTTGAACTCAAAACCATACAGAATCAAATTATATAATACACCAGCAGTTTTATAATACTTCACTGGAAATACATTTATGTTTATGACTAATAAGACTCGGTTGTGTGTCATGGTAATCACATTTAAAAAGATTATTTACATCAATGAAATCTCTAAGCATGCTTGGCATACACAGTTTTGGTCACGAATTGCTCGTTTGTAATAACTTTGCCCACAGTTGACAAAACATAGTTCTGATTGAAGCAGTAGATAGAATAAAGTTTAAACTTGTAATAAGTACGTTCGAAAAAGTAGATTTTAATTTTAGTAATAAACTGAATTTGTTTTTTCGTTGTGAAAATCAAGTGAGAAATGCTCACTGCACATCTTGGACTTAAAGTGTAAAAATTCATTGGTGTTGATTCAAATGTTAAGATTAACCTTCTCTTTGCATATCTGTAGTAAGCTATGATCCTAATCTATCAATTACTTTAAAGAAAAACAAATTTCAGCAACTTAGTGTTAAGTTATTGACAAATGAGCAGTTGGTGTGTACAACTGTGCATGCCAAGCATGTCTCTAAGGCAGTTATAATATTTGTTTTCTGATTAAAATCATTGATGTTTAATTTTATTTTTTAAGTATCGACGTATGACAAGACCTCAAATTGTATTTTATTTGTATTAAAGCCACTTTAACACATTTTAGATCATTCAATGCACAGTTGCGGTTAGTGCAAAGACTTTTTATTTTAAAGATAAATTAGAAAATAAAAGGTGGCAAAATAGGTAGCACACGAAATTCACACGATTCTAATTATCGACCCTGGCGATTCACTATACATCAGACTCAGAGGCCGAAACGTTACCGGAATACATATTCCGAGGCTGAGATTGCGGCTTCGGTTGATAAAATTCGGCGCAAGGAGATGAGCTTGCTTGAGGCATCCAAACATTACGGAATCCCACGATCGACAATTCGATCGCGGCTTGCGAAGAAAACTCAAACAGTGTTCCGTCCAGGTCCAACTACAGTTTTGACCCAAGAGGAAGAACTCGAGCTTGAAGAATGGATCTTTGTTATGCAGAACCGGGGTTTTCCCGTAACGAAACAGAGGCTGCTGGACATTGTGAAAAAATACTTGAATACCAACTCCAGAGCAAAAAAATAACCAAAAATCTCTCCAGACAAAATGAATTATTTTTAGCTTCTTCATGAGATTATCACTAATTTATTATTTGTTATTTTAGGTCGAACATGGATGCAACTGTTCTTAAAACGGCATCAAAAAATTTCTTTGAGGACTCCGGAATTCGTAACAAAAGCTAGTGCCGCTGTATCTCCATCTGATATACATTCATGATTCGATAAGGTTGAAGCTTTTTTGACTGCGAAAGGACTTACGGAAATACTTCAAGATCTGCAGCGCATCATAAATGGAGATGAAACTTCATTTCAATTAAACCCTAAAACAAAACCGTTCTCGCTTTACATGGGAGTCGCAATGTTTACGATGTTGAGCGATGCTCCAGTAAACTCAAGATAACGACAATGTTTTCGTTCTTCGCTTCTGGGGAAACCATTCCTCCCAGTATCGTTTACCCCTATAAAACAATATCAAAATCTGTGGTCGATTCAGTTCCCCCAAATGAGGCATCGCCAAGTCTAATAGCGGGTGGATGACTGCTAATATGTCTTTCGTGACTACATTCGAAATGTCTTGGATCCCCATCTGGTTAAACAGGTGAAAAAAACTGCCATTTTCATCATTGACGGCCACAGTAGCCATATAAATGTAGAGACTTCACAAATGTGTCGAGAGCTGAATATCATTTTGATTGCGTTGTATCCTAATGTTACCAGGATAATGCAGCCGGCAGATGTCGCTGCAATTGAACCAGGGAAAAATTGTTGACCAAATGCTGTACAACGGCTTCGCGATGGAAACTCTGAAAGTTCTGTGAATGCACACAATTTTGCCACAATATTTCAAGATTGGCTACGGAATTCTCTTACTATGAATTTCAGAACGGATTCAAAGTATCTGGACTTTATCCGTGGAATCGAAATGCAATTGATTCATCCAAGTACTTAAAAAAGACTGCACTTTCATGATGAGTCTTCAGAACCGCCGTCTGATCCTAGGCAACGTGAGTTGACTCCGGAACCTACAGAGATGTCTCGTCAGTTACAACAAGCGAAAAGAACACTCGAAGAATGCGCCGTAGCTATTGGTGGGGCAAGAATGGAAAAGTACAGAGCAGATTTTGTTTGTCTGGACAACGACGAAGATACGGCATTGTATATTGCCGTTTCAGGAAAAATAATTCGACGCAACTGATAACCACAGCATGCTATTAAAGCTGATAATCTGACGCCAAATGCTAATTTTTCTCTGAATTGGCAATAGAATATTTTCAGTCCTAGAGCAAAACTACCCGGACAAAATGAAAACAGATAGAGAGAGCGTCGAAGGCAATAGACAACTATGTGACTTTGATTATGTTGAGGTAGTTGAAGCTCCTCCTGGCGAGAAAGACACACCGGAAGAGTCAGGAACACCACAAACTAGTCTTGACCAAACACCAATGTTGACTCCTGTTGCTGCAGTTCCAGGACCTTCCAGAACACCATTGAAACATTTTCGCAATACACCGCCATCTAAAAAAAAAGGTCTTCTAAGCGAGAATATAAATCAAAACGCTATAACGTGTTGACTTCCGATGAATTTGTTCAAGAATTCACGCAAAAGGAAGAAGAAAAAGGTGAACTGAGGAATATAAGGAGAACAGGAAACTCATTCGAATGCAGAAAAATGATTACCTCTCACCCCAGCAGGCCTGGGTTCAATCCCAGTCGGCGCCGCCGGGATATTCTGAGGCATAACATCTCTGATCACGCCTTCATTCGGAAGTAAAGCCGTTGGTCCCCGGTTCATGAGTTGATGGGTCGATAGGTAGGGTCCAGGTGTGGGAGCTGCCTTCCTGGCACGTCGGTAGCATTGGTGCTCAGCACGGAAAACAAGATCGACGGAAAAAAAAACCAAAGAAAACAAAAAAAAGAATGCAGAAAAAAATTAAGCATAAGCGGAAAGGAAAAAGAAGCCAGAAGAAAAAGTCTTGAAGCAAAATCTGACTTTATCCACGCAGAAAGAAAGCTTCATTGATTCAGATCTACTCACTCAATGGCTGTATTGATGATCTATACTTCAACTAATGCAACTAGCAATATGTTTCTTATTTTTTTTTTGTCATTTAAATTGAAATAAACGTTACTTTGGTTTATTACCTATTTTTGTTCATTATTTTCGTGGCTAAGTAGTTAAACGATGAAACATTAGACTAGGATAATGCATGGATCGTGATTTCCTGATTGAGGCGAAAATTAGATCTCAAGGGTGGCGAAAATTGAAACAAATATTTGTTTCAAAAAAGTACTCAAACAGCCAAATAGTGACAATTTGTTTAATTTGAAAAGGAAGTCCAGCTCTCGATATTATGTTATTTCATTCGTTATTGTTTTGCCAAATTATCTCTTATTACGTGTTTTCATTGCAAAAATACTTTTAGTATGGCGAAATATAGAACATCTACCCTACTATGTTGGGTGAACATGTCTGAAACGTAATTACGATTAAAAAGGGAACTAATTTTCTTATATCAAAAATTGAATCCTAATTTAAGGATCTTTGAAATAACCGCCTAATTGAAATGACATCTGAGACAATGTTGTAGAGAAAAATTAAGCCTTTCTAGGAAAAATATACACGGTTAAATATTTTAGTAATTATGAGTAAACAAATTCAAAAATTTGATTTATTGATATTTATGCTTTTAACATATTTTCTGCTTTTATACGCAATATATCTATTTCGTTAAACCTAAATAATGCTTCTAGAAAGACTTTATTCTTCACTTCATCTTTTTCTCTGACGTCATTTCGATTAGAAGTGACTTTTTCGTGTTATGATTAATTGATAAATTACGAATACGCCATTTTGAAATAAACTCAAGATTCAACATGGCCGAGCTTGAGCACAGTTTGTCCATAACAAA